AGATGACTTGTAGTTGCTTGTACTGTAGTGTTGGTATTCAAGGCAACTTGGATATTAGCAGCCTCTGGCATTTTTAGGTTAATGTTGTTTCACAACTGTCCAAAGAACTACACAGCAATAGAATTCCAATAACTTAGTGTCATGAAGTATTAATTTGTCTTTGTAGGCCGAATCTTCGCCATTTGTTGAACGTCTTCTGAAAAAGGGCTATGAAGTGATTTATTTGACTGAACCTGTGGATGAATACTGTATTCAAGCTCTGCCAGAATTTGATGGCAAGAGATTCCAGAACGTTGCTAAGGAAGGAGTGAAATTTGATGAAAGTGACAAATCCAAGGAGAGTCAGGAAGCTTTGGAAAAAGAATACGAACCACTCTTAACCTGGATGAAAGACAAGGCTCTAAAGGACAAGGTACACACTTATTTGTTCAGAGTAGTGTTATCTTGCACCTCTATGGTACCTGACTAATCCTTCATTTAATTTTTACTTTTACACCCTCATCTTCCCTATAGACTTCATTTATTTGTCCATAGGGTACGGCTACACTGTGGTTTTGAAAGAGGGTTTTTCCAACATTTGGCCGCAGGTAGACAGGCCAGTATCGGGGGGAAAAACCTCTTCCGGGAAAAGAATTGGAAGAAGATATGCAAATACAAATATGATTTGCATACCTTTCCCAAAAATACGCAGTGTAGCCATACCCATATGGACAAACTTCATTTCTATATGAATATAGATGTGCTTTTTTAGAAAGTTCTCATGTCTCTCAATTGCTTTTAGAAGACTTATACTAATAGAATATCGGGACTCTTCACTGGGGGGAGGGGAGCTTTCAAAACCATCATATATAGGACTGTATTTGAACAGATGTTTTTACTAACTGACCTCAAAGATGAGAACTACAAATAAAGAGAGTATACAAACATTACTTTCCTGGTTAGGGGTTCTCTCAATCTCAGTAAACATTTTTTTTCCTAGATTGAAAAAGCTGTGTTGTCTCAACGCTTAACTGAGTCTCCCTGTGCACTGGTGGCTAGTCAGTATGGATGGTCTGGCAACATGGAAAGAATCATGAAGGCTCAGGCATACCAGACTGGGAAGGATATCTCCACAAAGTAAGCTTTACTTCTTGTACATCAGTGTACGAACACCACAGACATGAGCCACAGTTAGTAGGCAATTATGACTTGCTTGATAGTGCTCCCTATTTATAAGAATGGATCTAAAAGTCTCACTTATGAGGATGTGAGACTCATTGGAAGTTAGGTAAGATGAATGTCATAGAATGATAGAAGACTAGAATTGGAAAGGCCCTCGAGGTCATCAAGTCCAGTCCCCTGCCCTCATGGCAGGACCCAGTACTATCTAGACCATCCCTGATAGACGTTTATCTAACCTGCTCTTAAATATCTCCACAGATGGAGATTCTACAACCTCCCTATGCAACTTATTCCAGTGTTTAAGAAAAACTTCTTAAAACCAACTGATAGGGTGGTTAATGTCCAACCTAAGCCTCCCTTGCTGTAGTTTAAGTCCATTGCTGCTTGCTCTATCCTCAGAGGCCAAAAAGAACCATTTTTCTGCTTCCTCCATGTGACACCCTTTTAGATACCTGAAAATAGCTATCCTGTCCCTCCTCAGTCTTCTCTTTTCCAAATTAACAAGCCCAATTCTTTCAGTCTTCCTTCATCGGTCATGTTCTCTAGACCTTTAATCATTCTTCTCTGGATCATCTTCAATTGCTCTTCTCTAGATCATCTTCAATTTCTCCATCTTTCTTGAAATGTGGTACCCAGAACTAGACACAATACTCCAACTGTAGCCTAATCAGCACAGAGTAGAGCGGAAGAATTACATCTTGCTCACAACACACCTGTTCATGCATCCTAGAATCATGTTTGCACTTTTTTTTTTTGCTGCAGTAGCAGCATCACACTGCTGACTCATATTTAGCTTGTGGTCCGCTATGACCCCTTTCTGCTGTACTCCTTCCTAGAGAGTTGCTTTACCATTCTGTATGTATGAGACTGATTGTTCCTTCCTAAGTGGAGTACTTTGCACTTGTTCTTATTAAACTTCATCCTGTTTGCCTCATACCATTTCTCCTATTTGTCCAGATGGTTTTGAATTATGACCCTATCCTCCAAAGCACCTGCCATCCTTCCTAGCTTGGTATCATAGGCAAACTTAATAAGCGTACTCTCTATGCCAATGTTTAAATAATTGATGAAGATATTGAACAGAACTGGTCCCAAAACAGACACCTGCAGAACCCCACTTCTTATACCTTTCCAGCAGGATTGTGGACTGTTAACTACTCCCTAAGAATTGTTATCCAGCCAATTATGCACCCACCTTATAGTAGCCCCAGCTAAACTGTATTTGCCTAGTTATTGATAAAGACTATCATGCGAGACTGTATCAAATGCCTTACTAAAGTCTAGGTCCGCCACTTTGTAGCCCCTTCTTGTGCTTGCTTGCTTCAGAAACTGACTACTGAAGCACAACAGAATGAATTGATCAGATAAGCCTCTGCACATCTGAGTAAATATGTGAGTAGGTCAGCAGGGTGAGCTAAGTGTTACATATAAAGCTGACTTTCCACACTGTACTTATCCAGAGTACGAACTTACTGACGGACTGTTCTGAAGTAAACAAAGCCTTAAACATTAGACAGCAAACTAAGTGGTGTTACCAGTTTTAAGAAGCTAGCTACTAACAATTTTTTTTTCTTGTAGTTATTATGCTAGTCAGAAGAAGACATTTGAAATTAACCCTAGACATCCACTGATCAAGGACATGCTCAGGCGCATAAAGGTAAACAGAAGTTACAAAATGATAGGTTAATTGTTTAGCTACATTAACCCTGGTTAATAGTCTGTCTTTTTCAACTCAGGAAAATGAAGAGGATAAAACAGTTGCAGATCTTGCTGTAGTTCTATTTGAAACAGCGACCATAAGATCAGGCTATATGTTGCCAGACACCAAGGAATATGGAGAGAGAATAGAAAGGATGCTTCGTTTAAGTTTAAACATTGACCCTGAAGCAAAGGTGAGCTGCCACCACTTCTGGTTACAGCTTGGTGCTCGTCTTAGTTTTCAAAGCACTTTTTAAAAACAACTTCCATTTCAAACAAAACTTCAGATGGGTATGTGTATGGGAGCTAGTGTAGCTATACCCAGATATTTTGGGAGTGAGACTTTGAGCTAGCAGGGTTTGTGCTCAGGAGCAGCTGTAGAGCCACAACTTCAAAGCATAGAAGTTGTGGCTCTACAGCTGCTCTTACAACAGAAACCCTCCTAGCCCAAGTCTGTCGATCTCAGATTGGAAAGCTCACCTGGGGAACATCTACCACAGTATTTTGGAGTAATGGGCATTAATAGAACACTGGGAGGCTTGCCCCTCTGCTAGCTATGCTTGTGAACTCCCCTCTTGTGAGAAGAAGGCAACCCTGGCTTTCTTCCCCCAAAAATCGTTGCAATATCTAGACAATGTAGGAGATGGCTGTTACAGATATGGGGAATGGCCAGACTTGAAGAAATCCACTTCAGGGTAGATGGGCAGGTCTTGCTATCAGAGTGGTGCAAAGGCCAGGAAAGTGAGCCTCTAGACAATCTTCAGTCCTATCTAGAGGACTACACTACCTCTAGTGACTTGCAAAACCATTCAGTTAATTGCATTTTATGTACAACTTTATTTAACATCCAGCAGCTAGATGCATCAAAGAAGTGATTAAATGTTACCTTGTGCCGTTTTTCACTGAAACCCAGTTCATACAAGAACTTCAAACTGAGTCTTGTGCATATCCTGTCTACCATTAAGACAGATAAGCAAACTGATTCATTGAGGCTAGAATGTTGTTTCATGTTAATTTGTTAATGTCTAAGGTGGAAGAGGAGCCAGAAGAACCTGAAGACACAGCTGAAGTAGAGCAAGATGAGGAAGAAGTAGAAGCTGATGGTGACGAAAGTGAAACCGAAAAGGTCAGTTCTCAGAATAAGTCTTAAATTTCTGCAATCTCTAATCCACTATCTTTTTCTACAACTCTGGAATCTGTTCTCATTAACATGAACAGTGTTCATGCAGCAAATCATAGTTTCAGTGAGGCATAGTATAGATCAAGCTTGTGTAACTTCAAGGAAGCTACTACTTGTTTATATTGTCAAATGAGATAGTGATGAGAAATCTCCATCTTGTAGTTAGAGACTAGATCAAAATTGGGATTAAGACAAGGTTACTTCCATAAGGCATTTCATGTATGCTTGTCCTAATTCTACTAGACAGGAAGCTACTAAAACCTTAAGTATAGAAAAACAGATTGGAGATGGACTATTCAGCTAGTAGCTGAACTTATTTCTGACCATGGATTTATCAGTTATTAGAATGCTAGTATTTTTCCAGTAAAGTGGGAACTGCTTGTATTTCCAGTTAACTGTATTTCAAGGTTCAGTAATCAAATTTAACACTCACTAATCTATTTTAAAGTAACCTTAGATTTTTAGACATCTGCAACTACTTTAATGTTGTCACAAGCTGTAATGCCTTGGGACACTTCTCGTTTTCTAGAATTGTAGTTCCTTACAGCTTCATCCCTATTCGGAAGACCAGCTGGAAGCAAATAATAAATTATTGGCTTCTAGGAATAAATCTATTCTCATGATACCAAGTAGAGATTGTTTGGTGTTCAGTCACCTGCCTGAAGTAATGGACTCCTGTAGCTTTTATCTGTAATGCTGGAATTTGCATAGTGGTGCTTTGCTTAATTGTACCCAGGAATCTAATGCTGCATTTAGTGAGTTACGTACCCCGGAATAGAGGAGAGGATTAAAGGATAGTAGATAAAAATGAGGTCAACAGAACTTGTTTCTAGACTCATAGCTGCTTAAATATACAGTAAAACTCCATTAGTCCGGCATCCAGTGCTCCGGGACTCCTGATGGTCCGGCACTATCAGGAACCCGGAAGTGCTAGGGCAGCCGGACAGGCTTCCCCCATTCAGCTGCTGCTGAAACTGACCAGCAGCTGAATCAGGGAAGCCGGGAGCAGAGCATCTGGGGTGTTGCCGGGTTGGTCTCGTAGCGCTGCCCCTTGGGGATGCGGGGACCAAC